CTGTCGGCGCTGTCGATTCTTTCTGGACCATTCTTAGTGGGTGGCGGACTTCACAAAGGTTGTCATTTGTCACCTCTTCAGTGTGTGGTTTTAATGGAGAGAATTCTGAGGTGCAAAAGGAATGGAGAGTCTACTTTGATGACCTCAGGCTTCCATCTCTGCTTTTTGCCGATGATGCGGTTCTGCTGGCTTTGTCAGCCTATGACCTCCGCTGTGCATCGACTTGGGTTGGCAGCCAAGTGTGAAATGGTTCGGGATGAGGGTATGCATCTCCAAGTCTGGGGCCAGTATTCTCTGTCAGAAAAAGATGAATTGTTCTCTACAGGGTAGAAAGGAGCCACTGCCCCTGATGTTGGATTTTAAGTATCTCTGGGTTTTGCTCACAAAGGAGAAAAAGGGAGATTGATGCAGCAACTATACTTGCCTTTTACCTTTATCTTGGTCTGTTAAAGTCAAGAGCGGGACCTGAGCCCAATTCACAATTACAGCCTAATATGGTCATAAGCTTTGGGTAGTGACAGAGAGGATAAGATCACAGCTACAAACAGCCAAATACCACTTCTTAGATTAGATTGCTGGACTTCCCAAGGCTCAGATCATTCTTGCTGAAAGGAGCCAGTTGAAGAGATTCAGGCACCTGATCAGGATCCCAGGCCACATCCCATCCAACTGGAGAAGAAATGTTGGGGCAGACCCAGAACAAAGGCCTGTTGAGTCTTCCACTGCTACCTTGACCTGGAAAAAGAACTAAAGATGCATGAATGTGTTTATATTCCAAATGGTAGTTTAGAGCAAAGGGGGACCTGCATCAACTTCAGGAAGATTTAAACTGTCATTATCTGCTATTAGCCTTTATATTAAATATCGGTTATTGAACTTTATATAATCTTTAGCTGATTATATTTTATCCTGCACTGGATTTCTATGGGAATTACTTTTAGAGATATAGAGTTTGAGCGACTTGTGCTTCATGTATGTCATGACTTATTTATTACATCTGCTGCCATTGCACTTTGTCACATTTTGTTTTTATTGATACCAGTGCTGAAAGTAATTCCAATAATGGTCATAACTAGATAACAGTAAAGTTTAGGATTAGGGGTCACTAATTACAGTTACTGAAATTGAAATGGGCTTGTTACTCGTTACTTTTGTCCTACCTGAAAATAGTAAACAACTGCAGAAGACAGCAGACAAACACAGTATATCCTGTTGATTTTCCGTTTTATGATCAAATGTCACCCAACCTTTTGGTGCCCAAGAGAGTTCAGGCATGCTTTCTGTTCATCAAATATAATTATTTCTTAAGTAAATACTGTAGCAAAGCTCAGTTAATGTGTTTGTCTGTGTGGGTCCTACTAACTTCTCCTGTCTACTAGCCAAGACAAAAAGTGTAGCTTACAGGTAGTAACGCTAATTGTTCTTGCCATCTGGTGATAGGGAGTATTACCTATAACTAGATAAATTTGTCCTTCAGCAACACTAAAATAATACAGCTGACAGATGTGCGCATAACAAATCCAGTGTATCATATTTAGGAGGATCTATTGGCAGAAATAGAATATAATATTTTTTTATAGGCCGTGGGGGGGGTTCCTTGGAAAACTTAAGCCATTTTTATAAAAGCCCCCCACCCCAAAAAAAAAAAACAAAAAACTGGCTGTAAAAAGGGCCTTTCTTTTTTTCCCCACTTTTTGTAACCTCCCTTTCCTCTCTCCCATAAACCACAAAAAAAATAATAAAAAAAAACAAACTCCTATTTAATTTTTTATAAAAAAAAAAAAAAAAAAAAAAAAAAAAAAAAAAAAAAAATTTTTTTTTTTATAAAAAAAAAAAAAAAAAATTTTTTTTTTTTTAAATAAAAAAAAATTTTTTAAAAATTTTTTTTTTTTTAAAAAAAAAAAAAAAAAAAAAAAATTAAAATTTTTTTTATATTTTTTTTTTTTTTTTTTTAATATATTAAAATAAAAAAAAAAAAAAAAAAAAAAAAAAATAAAAAAAAAAAAACTACTTTTTTTTTTTTATTAAATTTTATTTTTAAATTATATAAAAAAAAAAATACTGCTTAAGAGGATTTTCCACACTTACAAGAATAAAATTCACAGCAAAACTTTCTTTTTAGCCACCAACATCATGATTTAAAATGATGAGTATAGCTTTGGAAGCCTAATTTGTAAAATACAAGGGTGGATTGGATCTCAATCTTTGTAAAACCCATATTGATTATATCCCAGCTTAACTATGAACTATTCCCCCTCATATTAGACATGAAACATGTATAAAAGGGTTTCAGGGAGACGCTGTCTACTCCCTGGGGGCTTGCAGCACCCATAGGCCCTGAAGTGCTGGCACTAAGGACACATTCTCTAGCAGATTAAGTCACTGGTGATAAGAGCATCCCTCCTCTATCCTCCTCTGTCTCTCCCTCTGCAAGTCTCTCTGTCCCGCCTCTCAGCCTGCCTTGGAATCTGGAAAATTCTGGTTTAAAAATACTGCAACACTTCCTTTGTTATACTAAGCCCTTTTTTGTCCCCCCCATCTTATTTATTTCCTTGTTCTCCCCAAATAACAGCAGTGGCGGGATGAGCGAGCGGGAGACATAGAAAAAGAAGGGAAAAGAGTGTATGGGAAGAGAGAGGGAGGGAATACAGTATATAGAGAGAGGGAGCAAGTCGGCACTGTCAGAGCGAGCAAAGAGAAGGAGAGGACGGCAGAGAAAGTTTATAAGGCGTAGTTTAGGAGGAAACGCGTGAGAGAAGCTGGGGAATCTGTGGTGGCCAGCTGCAAGAGGGGAGATAGCGGAGAAAGGCTTTTAATTCTCAATCCCCACAGAGCCTTTGAAAATTACCAATCTTCTTATCACAGACGCAGGGCTGCTTATGCAAATTGTTGTGGAGTGGAACGTTTAAACGGAAAATTACTCGACAGCATTTTTTTTCTCCCTCTTCCCTTCTCCCCCTCTCCCTCTCTCTTCCACACAGAAAGCCTGTTTTGAGTCTCAGATAAGAAGATGAATTGCTCTCCCCCTGCTTTGAAGCGCGTCAGGATTTAAAGACTCCAGCCTCGGCTCTGGTCTAACGCCGCTGCTCTTGCTGCCTTTGTAGCAGAAAACAGGCTGGGAAAAAAAAAAAAAACACGCAAGAAAAAGCATTTCAAAACAACATAGATTCTGTGCTTGAACACATCGTTACTGCCTGAGGAGAATAGGAAATATAAATACTCTCTAACCCTTACTCTTCTAGTCTATTTATTTTAATATTTTTGCTTAACACAGTCAACACTTTTTTCAGACATGGCAAGTAATTGACATGGATGAATGAAGCTCATGTGCTGTATGAAGGAAATGTTTGAAATCCCAATTATACCACAGGCAATATTAGAAATGAAACAGAAAATAGGGTTGAAAACCATTCAAGAGCTATACGCACTTAAAATGAAAATAACTGACTGAATGCAAAGCTATGAAATTGTGTGCTTTTACATGTTTCTGTGATTGAGCATTTTTTTATGTGTGCTTCATTCCTCCGCCCAAACAGACTGAGTATCTTTTGACTGCCATCTTGCTCACACGTTTGATTAAAGAAAAAAATATTTTAAAAAGTTCTAAACCAACTTAAAGCTGCAGTAGGTAACTTTTAGGAATATGACTTTTTGTCATATTTGCTGACATTTTCACAATATCCTGACAGTAGTACATGAGACAGATAATCTGTGAAAAAATCAGGTTCCTCTGGATCCTCCTAGTGCTCCTAATGGAATTTGCAAGAATCCATCATGCCTGGACATAAACAACCAATCAGAGCCAAGAAAGATATAAAAAGGGTTTGGGTTGGAGGCTTGAAGGTAGTTGATTGTTGATTCCCATTCCCAGCATTACAAAGTGTCTTTATGAATGAGACTCAACCTACAACTATTGTAATGGATTAGAGTTAGAGTTTTTTGTATCCTGATTACATAACTCAGTTACATGTAATCGCAAGCCTTTCAAAGCGTAAAAGTAAATACATTCCAACTGCAACAATCCGCAGTCTCTCTCAGTCTTGATAATTGCAGTCACTCATGGACTATGTAGTTAACAGTTATCAGTCTCGATTACTAAATTAATTTAAGACTAAAACCTCTTTTTGTTCTATCATTTGTGGTGTCACTTAACTAAAGATCCTCTTAAAAAGATGGTATTGAGCGTTTTTTATCCACTCAATTGGATCAAAGCTTTGTGATAAGGTGAGAAACCTGCCGTTGTCGTTGTTTTTCTCAAGTTTAACTTTAAAAATAAAGCAAAGACACAAGCAGCCCTGCATGGGCTGAATGAATAAGATATTTATAAATATGAATATATATATATAGATAATATAAATATTTTATTTGGGTAATTCACATTGCATTTCTTCCTCTTCCTCTCATTCATGTTAGGGTGCTTCACATAGTGAAGAATAATGTGCAGCAGAGCCATCACAGTGATGACTGCACAGGACTTTGATGGGAGGAAGTGAAGGCCACCACTGGATTTTTTGGTCATCCCATTCAGTCATTGCTACATTTTATCTGTATTTGTCAGCAGAACCTGGAACGCTCTTGTTCCTTTGAAAATGCATCTGGTTGAAATGCAACTTTCCTTGTTTCCTTTTGTGTTCACTTTGTGAGTACATGTAAACATGTGCTGTGGTGTTGCATTTGGATTGGTTCAAAAATAGGGAAGTTGGAGTGTTGTGGCTGTGTGGTTATTAAACTGAGACTTGTCATTTACAGGGCTGTTAATGCAATGTAAAAATGGGCCTTCAGAGCTGAATATTTTAGATCTCATGAACTGACGAATCACTGGTTGAATTACTGCTGTCTTAAATTACCCAGTAAAGGAAAAACAGACACATTTGAGTATTTGAGACAAAGCAGTCATGCAAAGATTTAAAGAACCATCATCATTTTATCTTTGATTACTTACAGTGCAGTGTACGATAGGGTTGAACTCCACCAACCTACTGAATTCTTTCTCCCAACAGAGGCAGCTGAGGAAGAGGAAGTGCTACCTCCTGGTGACCGGAGCAATTGTCCTCACCATCCTCATCATCATCATTGCTGTTTCGGCAAGAAAATGAGACTGGCCACCGTGGTAAGATTCATCATCTACAATTCAACACTGCAGTCAACACTGCAACCCCTGTCCCAGACACTGACACTGTCAGTTCCATATTATTTAAAGGTCCAGTGTGTAACAGTTTAGAGGATCTATTGACAGAGATGGAATATAATATTCATAGGTATGTTTTCATTAGTGTATAATCACCCGAAAATAAAATTTGTTGTGTTTTCATTACCTTAGAATAAGACGTTTTTATCTACAGAGGGAGTGGTCCTCTTTTATGGAGTCCACCATTTTGAATCATCATGTTTCTACAGTAGCCCAGAATGGACAAACCAAACACTGACTCTAGTTTGGGCTTTTTGCGTTTTTCACTGCCACCATAGTTTCTCCTACTCAGTTGGATTGCAACCAACTTGCGGGTTGTAATCTGCGATGTCACAGCTACACTGTAAATAATTTTGAAATTGCTGCCTTACAAATGTGAGATAAATGAACGTTGAGTAATTGGTTTAAAGTTTATTTCAGTTGTAAAGTTAAATGAACTTAAGAAAACACATTCAGTATTCTTAAGATATTAAGTAGAAGCAACAACCATTTAGTCACACAGACAAACATTACAATTAAATTTAATTTCCTCTTTTCTCAGTTTGAAGAATCAGTTCAAGCTACTTTGTCCCAGCGCACAAAGACAAGATGTGAAACTGCTTCCAGTGAATTTGTTTTAAGTGAAAGGGAGTAAGGCTTGAATTCAATACTAACCTTCATCATAGTTAACAATGACTTATCTTACAATGTACACACAGCAAGTTTCCATCATGTTTTCTAAAAACTATTTTTAGAAAAAACACTTTTAACTTGAAATAAATAAAACTTATTTCTGAAAAAAGATTAGTGAATTCAACAAAATTTCTGGATGTATTTTTACACTGTAGATGCCACCAAATCCTACACACTGGACCTTTAACTAGTGCACTATTAGAGCTGATATTTGTCTTTTATTAAAGTTGGGATATAATGCACTATATATCTCCACATATACACTGTAAAACCTGATGAGTTAGTTTAACTCAAACTGTTTGAGGAAACCGATTGCCTTAAACCGTTTAAGTTTATTAAAGATATGAAAAATATTTGATTTAAGGATAAGTATATCAAGTATGTTAAATAAAAGTGCACTCAAAACAAGTGAGTTGCTTCAACCAATCGTTTTTGAGTTAGGTCTAATTCATGTGAGTGAATCACTCCAATATTTTTGGAGGATTCATTTGTGTTAACTTACTTCTTTTATTAAGATGTGTTATTAGGTTTTACAGTAGCTTAGTAGGGCAGTAACATTTTTATAATATGCCCTTCATTTTAAAACTTTTTAAGAAAAAAACAAATGCACACATTATTTGACAATTGGGTTCCAAATGTTCTCTTTGGATGGCAGGGACACACATTGTGCTTGTTGAACTGTATGATTTAGGCGTGACGACTGGTCAAGATCGACTGAGTCTGTTCCGGTCTCTGTCAGTTGTCATGTACAGTCAGGAGATAACAAGCATGCATTGCGTTTTTGTTCCAATTACTCAATTCATTGTTTAGTCTATAAAATGGGAAGTTGCCAAAGGTCTTGTTTTGTTTTCTAAAACCCCCAAATAATCACTTTACTTTAAAACAGAGAAAAGCAGAAAATCATCAGAATCAGGCTTATTGCCAAGTAGGTTTACACATACAAGGAATTTGCCTTGGTGCATCACAATTAAGCATAGAAAAATATAAATAAGGCAAAAATAGAAGCAATAGACAAAAATGATTAAAATGATTACAAAAATCATTACATTTGCTGGAATGAGAGAATATTAACCATTTTTGCTTTATACTTAACTTAAACAATTACTTAATGTTGCCAAATAATAGATAATTGATTGATTGATTTACTAATAATTTCCACTGTATTGTGGTGTTGATCTAAATTCAATACACACCCAGCGTTCATTACAAATACGTTAAACTTGTTTGATATTTACAAATGGAGTTGGGAAAGTCAACATCCCATTTGTATGTGAAATAATCATAACAATTTAAAAACAAAACTAGCAAAAAACAGCACTCAGAGATGAAGATGTGCTATGTATCCTGACTGATAGAGTGGCTAATGAATGTGCATTTTTGTTTTGGTGCCCTTAACACATTTGTGTTCTCACAGGATTTCATTGGTTGCCTGGATATGCAACTCTAATTGTTACCCAGCATGCTGTCTCTGTATTTAGTCAGTTGTTCAGTGTGCTGCCAACACAAAAAAATCTGTCTATGTTCTTGGAAAAAGTCATTGTGTGTGGGCTGTCCCATCTTAGCAGGTTTCAGTAAACTTAAATTTTGTTCCCAACTTAACATCTCAGAATAAAAAAAAACATTTTAGTTTACAGCAACATGCTGCCACATCACCAAATACTGGCCAAATGTAATGCAGGACAGGAGAAGCCAATCAAAAAACCAGGTCATCAGGCCATAGTACAGCAACTTTAATACACTAGCATTATTTACATAGGTACTTTAAGATTAGGGCCGGGTTTGGTTGCTTTTTCAGTTTTTAATTCTGTTCACCATTGATACCCAAAATACCAGGATTTGCTAATCTCTCACTGTTTTATCAAACCGTTTATCTTTTCTAAACATTAAGTCTCTGAAAGAGAAATATTATGATAGTATGTGTCAGTCAACTCCAGCTCAGTTTTCTGCGAATGGCTTTGTGAAATGCTGTAAAACTGTGTGCCAAACATTGGCGAGTTTATCCCTCTGCTCACATATTCGCTGCAACATTTTCCATTGCAAATTTTATAACACATCATTCACATTTTTTTCAGATAAAATCTTAGAGTAAATACATTTTTGTCGATCTTGTGTTGACCACCTGCTGTCTGACCAAGACTCCACAGAATCCCTCGGCCCGCTGTCTTATTGGTATAGTGCATCACTTTTTAGTACCCGTGTATATTTAGAGAAAAATAAGGAACAAAATAAGGAAATCAACTGTACTGATCCCTAAGAAGTCCAAAGGATTAGCATTGTTTAACTCTTGTGTATCATTTGGTAAGATGAACAAATTCCCCTGATTTGTGCCTTCTGCTAAAGTATGATTCCTTATAGCTGCAGTTGGTATTTTGAATAAAAATGACTTCATTTTATATTTATAAAATCATGTTCCTCTGGCTCCTCCTAGCTCTACTAATGTTATTTTCAAGAATCCACCGGGCCTGAACAAAAACAAACATTACATGCACTTTGGGATTCTGGGAAAGAGAATCTTCAATCTTCCAACCCAAAGCATGACCTACTGGTCTGGTCTGGTTTAATATATATCTATCATGGTACCAACCACATTGTCCATTGATGTATGTCCAGTCGACGGAGCAATGGAAAGCAGGATATCCAGATGTGTGGTGCATGATGGATACACTGCGGTGAGTTGATTGTTCGCCGTATCTATATTTGCATAAACATGACTCAACACAGCAGGCTCAGGCAACTCAGATCAAACTGTAAAATTAGGCAATGCTGTTCAAATATAAATCCAGATTCTTTTAATGCATTGCCTGTTCATCACTTAAAATGTTTTCAGAAACATATTTTAGTGTGGCGCCTGGTTAGCTCAGTCGGTAGAGCTGGCAACCCATATACGGAGTTGCTGCAGCGGCCCAGGGTTCGAATCTGACCTGAGGCCCTTTGCTGCGTGTCACCCCCACTCTCTCTACCCACCCCTCCTGTCTATCTTCAGCTGTCTCTATCGAATAAAGGCAATAAAAGGCCAAAAAATAACTTTAATTAAAAAAAAAGAAACATATTTTAGTGTACTGTTTATCCATAATCAAAAGATTAAAAAAAATAAAAATTAACCCTATGGGGTCTAATGGAATTTTCTTGTTAAATTCACCTTTAAAGGCAAAACATGATACACCCATGTCTTATATAAAAATGTGCACAATGTTCACGACCACCTCAGGTATTTGTTTGATGAGGCACTATTTGTCCTGGAGCACTGTGACAGGAGGTAATTTGACCCTAAAGCTAAAGCTGAAAAATTTAAGTTTGATTTTTTAAATTCTTCAAATCTCTTATGAAAACACAGCTTTACTCACATGGACCAATTGTTTTGGAGCTTGAAGTGGGTTTTATCAAAGACTAAGGTTCACAAAAAATGTGGAATCTATGAATAAAATAGCATATACATGTATAACAACTTAGTTCATTTAGTTTCACACAAAATGCAGGCAGATACACAAACCCACCAATTTGGCATGCTGAAAGGCAGACAACGCTCTTTTCTCTTACTCCTAGTGCACTGTGTGATTCACGTACACTCTTGCGGAAATATAATTATTTTTGTGCTGTATTATCACAGAGATATCGCAAAAATGTGCCAGCACGTTCCAAGACCCCTGGGTGTTAAGAAGTAGGGTCACATTTGCTTGAGTGGTGAGAACCGAAGTTGGATTATGTGGTTTGCACAGACAAAGTAAAAGCCAACTTTATTTCTATAGAACCAGTAAAGAAGATGAGCTGAGAAATGGTTTTCCCCTGGCCTGAAGTCAGTGATCAGATAGTTTGAAATCATCCTAAAAAGTGATGCATTTTATTTCTTAAAGGGGAATCTGAAGAAAGTTTTTGATTTAATTTTAAATTAGATGCTCTCAAGTTTGATGACCTAACTAATTGTAGCCTCATATTACTAATGGCTGGAAAAGCTGTCCTGACAAACACTTTTTTTCTCTCTCTCTTACTTGACATCCAATACAAGATGTCTCTGCTTGCATAAAGTATTGATCACATCCTCCTGGGGGGAAGAAAATGGAAATCCTGTGGAACAAAGCATTCTATTCATGAAACAGCAGGCTGAATCAATGCTCCCATGGCGACTGGCCCATGTTGAGGCTTAGGAGTTGGTGGTCGACACTCAAGTGGCTAGACACTATCAGTTACCACACAGTCTCAGTGCTAAAAAAGGCAACGGGCCATTGTGAAGTCTGCCACTAACTGTTGTGTTG